TGAGGGTACTATGGACTGCTAGGAAAACAAACAGATTCATCCTGGAAAGGGTTAAACCGGGTGGCTCCTTGGAGGCAAGGATTCTGAGGTCCGTTTAACATACTTTGGACATTTTGTAAGGAGAGACAGGTCCTTAGAGAAGGACATCATGCTTGGTAGGGTGGAGGGACAGCGCAGGAGGGGAAGGCCCTCTGTGAGGTGGATTGATTCAGTGACTTGGGTAATCGGATTGGAGTGTCAGAGACAGTGTGACTGGCACAGGACAGAGCATATTTTAGGGCTGTTGTACATAGGGTCGCTATGAGTCGCAAGCGACTTGATGGCACATAACAACAACAATAGTTTCACTACCCATTCTAAATCTCCTTTGCCCTCAGTAAGAACGTCAGCTGGTCATAGTTCTTCTCCTGATGGGATGACCAAAATGTTCATTCTTGAGAGTCTGTCCATTAGTAGACAAATTAGAATTGAGTTGGTACAGTTTTTGCTTGGTGTTAATCATAGGGCACAATAATACTAAAAGATGATCTAAAGATTCAGTCTTCTCCTGTGCAATTTACAGGCTCTGAAAACTCGTTAGAGGTTCAGCTATCGATTGGTTCTGACTCAATGGCACACAACTACTTTACCTTTATTACATAATGATGTTGTTATGTGCTGTTGAGTCGCCTGTGACTCATTGCAACCCTATATACAACAGCTCTGAAACCTGCCCTGTCTTGAGCTAGTCTCGCTGACTCCAACACACCTACCCCCATTACCACAGTTACTACGTCAATCCATCTCATGCAGGGTCTCCCTCTCCTGTGCTACCCCTCCCACCATGATATGTTCAAGACTCTTCTCCAGCACCATACTCAAAGTTACCAATTTCCCTTCTATCATCTTTAGTCATTTTCCAGATTTCTGATGCATATCAGATATTTGCAAAGACCATGGCCTGGATCATCTGCACCATTGTCTCTAGACTGACATCATTACTTCTTAGTGCTCTGGAGAGGTCCCTGACAGCAGATAATCAATGAAATTTCCCCTTTGTAAATAGGATCAGTCACACCAGAGAATACAGTAACTTCTTTCCTTGCCTCTTGATCCATAGGCAAGAACCCAAACTGGTAAAGTGGCATTCTTTACTTCTAGCTCAGTGTAATCAGTATTGTGTCTCCAAGAGAGAGTATATGCCTCTTGGAACTAAGGCCTCCAGAACCACAAAGCATAAGGTAGTAGAGATAGAGAACAAAAATTGTGCAAATGTGATACTAAGGGTAATAGTACTATTCCCACTACTGCCCCTTCATTCTTGGACTCATGAATAGTGAGGAAACTACCCCCACAATTCAAGATATTGCCACCTAGCTGACACAATAATTGTCTCTTTAGAATCCAGTTGCTTTAGAATAAGGGAGAACATAGTAAAACGAATGAATTTCATGCACCTAAGCACACTTCATTTAGTGTGAAGTAAGTATGTTGATCTAATATGATCTCTAGATGATCCCCCCAAGAATGTGATATTACTTTTGGTTTATTATTTTTCTAGGTAAGTTCTAATTGCGTCCACTTGACTTTTCCTACCATTGTAACCTTAACTCCACCTGCCAGTAAACCATTGTGAGGGTTCTTCCAGTTGCTGAATATGTCCATCCCAATTATGCATTGTAGAACTGGGGAAGTAATTACAGAAGAGGCTCTGGGACCCAGTGGGCCCACCATGAGATTGTTGTTATGGGTCATAGAGTCACCTTCAACTAATAGTGACCCTATGCACAATAGTTTTGAGTCCTGTCCTACCTTGAGACATTTCATTGTCAGCAACACACCTACCCCCTTTACTTTAGTTACTGAGTCAATCTATCTCATCCAGTGTCTTCCTCTCTTACATGCTGTCCCTCACCTTTCCAAGCATGATGTCCTTCTCCAAGGACTGTTACCTCCCGCCAACATGCCCAAAGTATGTGAGACAGGACTTCATAATCTTTGCCTCCAAGAAGCAGCTTGGTTTCACCCTCTCCAGGACAGACCTGTTTGTTCTCTTAGTAGCCCATGGTATATGATCAGTACTGTTCAGTTCTCTGATGTATAGCAAGTAATTGTGAAGACCATGACTTGGATCAGGTACACTTTAGTTTCTAGACTGCCATCATTGCCCCTCAGTACTCTGGAGAGGTCCCAGAAAGCAGATTGCCCCCCCCCCCCATGCAATTAATCTTTTAATTTCCTCTCTGCTGGTTTTTGGGTGTTAAGCTTCAATCCATATTAAAGACTGCAGTTATTCACCTTCTGCAGCAAATGACATAGGTCCTCCTCAATTTCAGCATGCAAGGTTGTGGGTTCAAGTGTGTTGGAAATTATGCTGATGGCACGGAAGAGAGTAGGGTTCAGGTGGGCTGTTCATAAGGTTACTATGAAAATCTGCTGGAGGATCAGCTATGGGTCGATTCTGACTCTATGGTACAAAACAACAACAGCAACATAGGCTATTATCACATACAATAACTACCTGCTGAAATGTACAATCTGATTTGAATGACAGATTATTATTCAGAATGCTTATCTGCACAATAGTAAACCAAGTTTTCAATTTGTTTCTCGATTAATGATGCTATTAGTGATGTTCATAATGCAGAGAAAATAGTCTACACATTTAATTTTTTTTTCTTTTTAACATATTAAGTATTGAATTTTGGTCAAGTTTACTCATGAGAAACTTGGGAAACTCAGAATGGTTCATTAATTTGAGCAACGTGTCCCAATAAAGTTATTGTTGACGGAGACACTTCCGGTAGGGGCATTTCTACTTCCGTTTTAGCCTACATTTTTAGCTCTCGGTTACACTACCCAGCCGGAAATGTTTGTACCCCATTTAAAGCCACGTCTGTTGCAGCCTCAGTCCCGCCCCTAAACTGTGGAAGTGTTTCCGGGGTCACGTTATCTCGCCCTGTACGCCCCGCCGCCGGTGCCCCGCTGGAACGCCAGGCTCTCCCGGAAGTGGCCCGGTTCTGCCTGTCGGGGTCTCCTCCACCCGCTGCTGCTGAGGTCGCGGTGCGGCAGCGATGGCGGAGGCGGCGCTGCTACTGCCGCCGGAGGCGGCGGCGGACCGGGACGCTTGGGAGAAGCTGGCTCTCTGGGACCGGAGACCGGACTCAGCGGCACCGCTGACCGACAGGCAGACAGACTCCGTACTGGAGCTGAAGGAGGCGGCGGAAAACCTCCCCGTGCCGTCTGAAGTGAGGGAATGGCAGCGACAGGCTGGCGCGGGTGGGCGGGGCAGAGCTGCGACTTGGGCCGGCCGCTGACCCCTGCCCTTGGTCTCTTTCCCTTCCTGCTGCGGTGGCGGAAGCCCCTCACCTTCGAGAGCTGTCAGGTTCACACCGCTGACTGGTCTCCCCGGGCACTGACGTGCGGGTGCTGCTCAGCGGTGGCCGGTATCGATCCAGCCCCTGCTGGGTGGCTGGCCAGGAGCCTCGCCCTGGGCCAGGTGTCACCCGGGGCATACCCTGCAGCCCACCTGTCTCTCAGGTCCTGGGGTTTCTGTGATGCAGGATAGGCGCCTCTTGGCGTTCGTACCCTTTAATCAATCACCCAGCTGCTTTTTTCCCACGCGGGAGGTGGAGAAACCGGAACTTGGTCTTAAGAGTTTATTGGTCGCAGATAGAAGAGTGAGCGTGTTTTCGATTAGGAGCACATTATGAAAGATTGGATTGATTGGCTATCTATAGCAGTATGTTCACTTTGAAAAGATGAGTCAGTGCATTGCGAGGTAAGGCGAGCTTTAGGTCTTCGTGTCATCGTTTTTCAGTCTTAGTGACCAGTTTGGTGCATTCTTTTGCTTCGTATGTGATTGCATTTATTAGCTATAAATAAGAAGTGTGTTGGATGAATTATCAGATACTTGACAAACTTTTTCTTGTTGGAAGGTCACGTTCAGAAAGACTTGTTAAAAAAATGGACGTGATGTACAGTGCGTGTGAAAGGCAGAGTTAGAAACTTCCCCCACCGCGCCTCTAAATTTAAGCGGTAAAGAATTCGATTTATTTAAAAGTTCCTCCACGTTCACGGTTGCATTCTCTGCCCGAAATTTATTGGCTTTCTCTGCCTGCCTCTAGGATGCTATGCCGGAAGTGGGTCTGCAATGTATGAGGAAGCAGGTGGAAATTTCTTTGGCTTGCTTTCAACGTCTTTGATGTCTTGGATAAAAGTTAGACGTTTTTTGCTCTGTTATTTCTCCAGTCTGTAATTGATTTGACCTGCTATTAAGGCAAGGTGCTTCCATGAACTCAGCAATTGGGGAAACCAAGGGTTGAGTTTTTTTCCCCCTCCCAATCTGAAACACTCTTTTATTGCTCGTCTTTTTTTTTTTTTTAAATTAATTTTAATGAAACTTAACAGAGACTTATCAAAAAATGTTTGAGACAGTATGTCAACAGAGAACTGCCACGTGTGCCGGCTGGATTTAGAAGAGGTCGTGGTACTAGGGATATTATAGCTAATGTTAGATGGATCTTGGCAGAAAGCAGAGAATACCAGAAGAATGTCTATCTGTGTTTCATTGACTATGCAAAGGCTTTTGACTGTGTGGATCACAACAAGCTGTGCTTGACTCTGAGAAGAATGGGAATCCCAGAACATTTGATTGTGCTGATGTGAAACCTATACTTGAACCAAGAGGCAGTCATCAGAACAGAGCAAGGAGACACTACATGGTTCAAAATCAAGAAGGGGGTCCGTCAGGGATGTATTTTGTCTCCATACCTTTTCAGTCTGTATGGAGAACTGATCATCCGAGATGCAGCTGGGCTGTATGAGGAGAAATGTGGCATCAGAATTGGTGGAAGAGTCATCAACAATCTGCGTTATGCAGATGACCCAACCCTGCTTGCTGAAACTGAGGAGGACCTGAAGCACTTGCTGTCAAATATCTGGGACTGCAGCCTTCAGTATGGATTGAAGCTCAACATCAAGAAAAAAAAGATTCTCACCACTGGGCCAATTGGCAGCATCAGTATGGATGGTGAAGAGATTGAGATAGTTAACAGTTTTAGTTTACTTGTTTCCACAGTCAACACTCTTGGTAACAGCAGCCAGGAAATCAAGAGATGAATTGCATTGGGAAAGTCAGCTGTGAGGGACCTCTCAAGAGTACTGAAGAGCAACGACATCAGACTGGAGACTAAGGTGCACCTGATCCAGGCTATTATAGTCTTTGCAATACTGTGCTATGCATCGGAGAGTTGGACAGTGACTAGGGATGATAGAAAGAGAATTGATACGTTTGAGCTGTAGTGCTGGAGAAGAGTGTTGAATATCCCATGAACTGCTAGGAGAACTAACAGGTTTGTCCTGGAGAGGGTGAAGCCGAAATGCTCCTTGGAGTCAAGGATTCTGAAGCTTTGTCTGACATACGTTTGGACATGTTGCAAGGAGGGACTGGTCCTTGGAGAGGGACTTCATGTTTGGGAGAGTGAAGGGACGGCGCAGGAGAGGAAGACCCTTGATGAGATGGATCGATTCTGTGAGTGCAGTGGTGGGAATGAGTGTGTTTGAGACAGCGAGGTTGGCACAGGATAGAGCGGCATTTAGGGCTCTTGTGCAAAGTGTTGCTATGAGTCGCAAGCGACTTGATGGCACATAACAACAGCAACAGAGACTTAGGTTTTGCAGTCATTGTTGCACTTTTCTCCCTACCCACTCCCTCCCCTGGAAACCTAGTTTTTAAGAAAAGTAATGCAAAACTACGCTGCAATCCAGAAGGATCGCGGTTCATATCCACCAGATGATCCTCAGGAGGAGAAGGCAATCTCTGTCCATGCCAGTCAGATCTCGTTCAACAACAACAACAACAAAAAAATGGGGGGAAAAAAGCAATTTGTAACAGAAACAGTTGTTATCTTTTAATGTAAAGGTGTGACTTGGAATGAAGGATATGGAATCTTAATTTTAACTCATTTTTTCCAGTATGGTTTCTGTTGTCAATTCTACATAGTTATTTAACACGTGTTATGCATCTGAGCAAGGGATTGGGACTAGAAAGAGAAATGAAAACTGACAACATGCATCATCTCAGTAAATAGATTGTAGGGATTAAAAGCATTTAAAAAAATCAGTGTTTGCATAGTGATGCATGATATGAGGAAGATAAAACAGGATGGAGTAATGGCTAGGGATAGAATGTGCTCTTTTTGGATAAGGAGGCCTTTGAAGAAAGTAAGGTGCTATCTAAAGGATGGGAAGCAACTTTACAAAGACTAGGGAAAGAACTTTTCAGCTGGAGGTAAAAACATAAAGGTCAAAGATAGGTAACAGATTTGACAGTGTCAAGGATTAAGTAAGGGTCTTGTGGTTCACACAGCTTTGGTATTTATTACTGTGAGAATGAGATTGACAACTTGCTATCTCTGAACACTGCTCTTCAGAGTCCAATAGCCTTCATTTTCTTTTCTGAAGCTCAAATTGATTGACATAAAATAGGAACCAATTCATAGCTGACCCTCCCTCCTTTTATCGAAGGCTGTAAATTGTCTGAGAGGAGGCTGGGTATCTTTCTGCTTCAGAGTCAATGGTGGGTTGGAATCATCAGAGAAACTCTGCCCTTGGATTAGCTGTGCAACTCCTACAGACTGTGCTGCCAGACAGAGCTCCCTTATTTTCTTCCAGTAAGTGTTTATATATCAAGTGAGATGACTTTGCATTTGAATTTTTATCCTTATTGCCAGTCTTTTAAAAACATGGGAGCTGAAAAAGATGCTTCAATAATTTTTATTTTTCCCAATCAGTGTATTTCTGCAAAATTTTATTTCATATTTCACAGTTGTCATAAAATAAATTGCCTTCTGAACTACTGGGACTGAGCAGATTAGTTAAATAGTAAAAGATTGGCTGACTCAGTAAATATCATAAAGTTATTTTCTAAGGCCTTTGGAAAGTAACTTTCTCTTTTATGAAGAGCTGCTTTTATCTTGGAAAAGATTTAACACCTTTTTTTAGTTTGTGTGGAATTATTTTCCCTCCTTTTTTTTTTGAAAGTTATGAGATCTTCATTATTTTTAATTTGGTGTTAAAACAATTTGCAGCAGAATATTAAGTGGACTTGTTTCTTGTGCTAGGATTTTTAATCCTTTTTCTTCTGAACTTATGCTAACTTGATAAAGGCTGAAATTTTTTATCA